ACTCTGCTTCCCATCCCATCCACCCCAAACCCCGGGACCCTGTGGGTTTCCCCCGTGCTTTTCCCGGCTGGGACCCGGTGGCACCTCCGTGGGCTCCGTGTCCTTGCGGCAGTGCCCGAGGTCAGCTGGACCTGGCCATAAACCCGGCTGTGAGCCTGGGATGGGCCGGGACCTCCCCGGAGGGGCACGGGGGATCCGGGAGCAGCGCCGGGCTCCGGGAGTGCCGAGCTCCGGCTGTGCCGGGCCCCCCTGGCTGCTCCGGGCTGGCGAACAGCCGGACAGGTTTCCTTGGACCGGGGGAGCAGGGCCGGGCTGCAGGGGAAGGGTTTTGGGTGATGTTGGGGTGTTGGAATTGGGATGGAAGGCGGTGCAGGGAGAGGTTCAGGTGTGTGTGCATCCTTGGGAGCAGGGCAAGGAGCCGGCCCTGGGGCTGTATGGCACGGGCACGGCCCGGTGTGTGAGCCCCGGGCATTGACACGGCCCGGTGTGTGAGCCCCGGGCACGGGCACGGCCCGGTGTATGAGCCCCGGGCATTGACACGGCCCGGTGTGTGAGCCCCGGGCACGGGCACGGCCCGGTGTGTGAGCCCCGGGCACGGGCACGGCCCGGTGTGTGAGCCCCGGGCACGGAGGCTGCTCTGTCCTGGCTCTGTCCTGGCTCTGTCCCCTTGGCCAGGGGCTCCCCATCCCCTGTGCCTCTGCTCCTGAACCCTCGGCCAGTTCACATCCAGTCTGCTCCACTAAGGAAACTGGATCTCTGCAGTCCTTCTGAGCGAGCTTTGTGCCTCCAAGGAATTTCCAGCGCAGTTATTTTTGGAGGCCCTGCAGAAGTGTGGCAGCCCGGCTGATTCAGCTGCTGGCTCTGCTCTCGGCGAGTGGAGGCAGCCCCGGGCTCCCAAAACTGCCGCCGAAGTGCTGGGCACTGCTTTGGCTCGCTGTGAGCCGTGCTGGGGTCCCTGCTGCCTTCCCAAAGCTGCAGGGGCTTCGTGGCTGGCTGCAGGCTGGAGCCCCGGCCGTGCACGGATGGGGTCGGGGGGGATTGGTGTCCCCTGCTCCGTGTCCCTTCCCGGGCAGCTTGGGAGGCTCCTTGCCCTCTCCTGCCACAGCTCCGACACCTCTTGGCCGTTTGGTTTTGGGCTCCTGGAGCTGTTGCTCCCGGTTCACAGCAGGGAATGTCCTCAGCTGGCCCTGGAGACTTTTCCTGCTGTTTTCCCTGGAAGCAGAAGGTGTTGGCTGCTCGCTGTGAGGCAGAGGTGAGTGTTGGATGCCGTTTTGAAAGTGAAAGCGCTTGGTTTCCACACGTTTTCCAACGTGCAAAGGTGCTTTTAAAAATTTTTTTTAATTTGAATGGTGAAATGCATCAGCACTGGGAAGTTTTTCAGGCGATGCAGGGAGGTGTTTGCAGGGAGCAGAAGGCTGAGCTGCAGCACTTGTTGGGCTGCTGAGGTTCCCCTGCACACTCAGGGGATGCATCTGCAGGTTTTGTAGAGGATTAGTGAATGATCCCAAATTCCTGGGATGGATTTTAAAGCAGCAGTTTGAAACGGGTGGATTTATCCACGCAGGAAAATGAGAGTTGGTGACTGAGCCCCGGAGAAAACCAGATTTTCTCCTGGCTTTGACTCCGAGGCGAATTGAGGCCTTAATGTTTGATCTGTAATCTTTTCCTGCCGGGATCAGGTTGAAGTTTGGTTCCAGTCGGCAGCACAGGAGCCAAATCACAGGGTGGGGGGGTTTGGAGCCCAGGGGGGCTCTGCAGCCCCCTGGCCTTGCCCAGCCCAGGTTTTTGGGCTCCTGCTGCTGTCACAGGATGTGTGACCGGCCCCACGGTATTGTTTGCACCCGCCCTGGTTATTTTTAGCCCGAATTTGTCAGGCTGCAGCTCAGCCCCGGGACCTTTTCACACCCCCTGAGGCTCCTCAGGGACAAACTGGACTTTCAGGGATTTTTTTCTCCCTCTTTTTGCTCATTTGCTGTAATCTGGCTATTGCCCAAATCAGACAGGTTTTGGTCCTTATCAGAACATCCTGCAGGGTTTGTGGCCAATGTTTTACACAAGTTTTATATGGGCTGTCAAAAATGCAACGTATTGTTTAGGCCGAAAATCTTAAATTTTATCTCATTTAAAATACTGATCTTGCTGAGTTGGCTCTTTCTCCTTTAATCACATCACCTGGAACCAGTCTGTGGGATTGAGAGTTATTTTTACTTTAATTGTTTGCCCTCTGTGCAGCCCAGCACAGGTGGGCACGGCCAGGTGTGTTTGCAGGAGATCCAAGGAAAAGTGGCTGTGCCGAGCTGGGGATTTGCATGGCTGGGTCCCCTTCACGGTGACAGGTCCACACCTGCCCCGTGTCCCTGCAGTGATGTGGAAGTGCTGCAAGTCTGCATTGCCCGGTGTATATGGATATGGAATTCCTTCCTGTGCTCTGGATCCTCAGGGATGTCCCTGTGCTGGCTCCCTTGAGGCAAGTCAGGGATTTTCCCTTCCCTGCTGCAGTTCAGAGATCTGAGCTCTGTGCTGGCACTGGGGCATTTTTGGGTGATGTGGAGCTCGTGGGTGGTGAGGGCTGGACTCTGGTGCAGGGCTGGCACAGGTTTGGTGGCTTTTCCTCTTTCCACAGCAGCTTCTCTTCCTCTTCCTTCCTCCTTCTCCTGCCTCCCTATCTCATTCCTTGATCACAACATTTCTTGAGTCATCTTTGCTCTTATCTAAGTGGTTTAAAAATCAGGTTTAAAGCACATCCTGGCAGTGTGGGTGTCCAAAGCTGGAGAGCTGTGCCCAGGGCTGGTTCTGTGTGTCTGGAGCTCCTGGAGCTGCCCTTGAGCCCAGGGCCATCCTGTGGGGCAAAGGCAGTGTGGGCAGGCACTGCGGCCACAGGCTGGTGCTGTCCCTGCTTCCAGAGGAGGACAAGGTGAATTTCTGGGTGTGGAGCTGTGCCTGAGCCCTGTCTGTCCTTGCCGTCACCCCAAGGCCCAGGAGTTCATTGGAAGGGAATCCTTCACTGCAGAACCTCTGCCGTGGGAAGTGATGGCTTTGGCCTTGAAACCTGCAGGGAAAAGTTTTTGACACCTGGGCAGGAGGTGGCTCGGGGGAGCCTTTGGAAGCTCAGGGATGGCTCATCCTGAACAGGCTGGGTCCTGTCCTTCCAGGGACCTGGTGGGGTTCATTCAGCAACCTCCGTGTCCCCCTTGCTTTGATAAAATACCTTTAAAGGAGATTTTGCTGTTAATTCCTCCAAGCAGTGCATGTTCACTGGGTAAAGTTGCACCTGCGAGCAGCAGCTTTGGGTTGGGCAAGGGACACGAAGCAGTTGTGGGAATGCTTGGAGAACTGTGCCAGGAATGAGTCCCTGTTCTTGCCCAGCTCAGCTGGGAGCCCCAGTGCATTGCACAGCCTTGGCTTCCTTCAGGCATGGAACTCATCTCGAGGAACTGCCGTTCTGAGAGGTGGAGAATTTGTGTTTTGGCACCAAGCTGGCCTCGTGTGGAGGAGGAAGAGGAGGAGGAGGAGGAGTGGGGGTGACTGGGCAGCACTGGGGCTGCTGGGGAGCTCCTGGCTCCCTCCAGCTCATTCCCTTCCTGCTTGGCTCACAAACCTGGAGTCATGCTCAGCTGGATCAGAGAGAGCATCTTCATTCCATTTCTCGTTCAATGTATTTATTCAGTGCCTTGGAAAGCAACTGTGTCCGTGTCTGCTGTGCCCCTGGGGTGGTCCCTTCCCACAGGAGCTGCTGGGACACTGCTGGGCATGCAGGGCCACTGCTGGGCCACTGCTGGGCCACTGCTGGGCCACTGCTGGGAATGCAGGGACACTGCTGGGGCTGTATCTCCTGCTCTAAACCGGGCTTTTGGTGTTGTCCTTTCCCACATCTGTGTGGGAAGTCCAGGGCAGCACTCCTGTCCTTTCCATGCTTTGCTGGATGGATGTGTGTAATTGTGGGATGGAGCAGTGAATGAGGCAGGAAGGAGCCTCCTGACATCCCTTGGGTGCAGCTACAAGGGTTGGGATGCTTTGGGGTCCTGGGGCAGAGCCTTGTCCCAGGAGGAGTGAGAAGGAAAAGCACTCTGTGTTCCTCTGCCCGGCTCAGTCGGTGTTTGGCTCCTGGGCTGTTGGCTCATCCCAATTCCCTGTGAGAGCTCTCTCCTCCTCTGGGCAGGGCTGCAGGGATGGGTGAGTGTCTGGGGACAGCCCAGGGGAGCTGAGGCACCTCCAGTGAGCTGTGGTTCATCATCTGCCTGG